TACTCTGTCGTGAGTCATCAGCAACTGCTGTTGCTGGCTGTCAATAAAAGATCATTTTATAAGCTCCTAAATTACGCTTCACTGCAAACTGTGAGGCAGCGCGGCAATAACCTCCTCCCTCCAGTTTAGCGCGCGCACACACAGACATACACACTTAATGGCAAAAATCAGCTCTGGATATTTTAACAGTGGGAGGATGGAGGACCAAGGCCAAGGGCTGGGAAAGGGAGAGGAAGGAAAGGGGAGATGGGTAGATAGAGGGAGTCATTAAGATAGCTTGGGTGTCAGCGTAATCCGTCAAGCCTGATAAGGCCATGGCCTGCTGCCAAAGAGCAAGGTGTGGCAGTTTCCCTCACCAATCACTGTCACTGGTAGCATCCCTCATAACAAATTTGTTGTACTTACTTTTGGTATTAGTACCAAAACTGATTAAAGAGAAATGAGGGAAAACATCTGGCATATGAGGGTTATTTAATGTTGTGTAGTAATAAAATCATTTCAACTGGCCTCTTTACACTTGTCCCCTAGATTAAATCTGTTTTTCCGGCAAAGCCACATTAAGCCACTGGTCCAGGCTGATTTTGAGTTTTAATGCGTTTAAATGATTTAAACACACTTTAAATTGTCCTTTTGCCAAATCACTGCTTGTTTTGTCAACACAAACGCGAAATTTTTAAGTATAAGTATTTATGAAACTACCAAGAACGCAGAATACAAAATTTCCGAGCAAGAATGTTTATTAAATACGTTATTTACAAAAGTGTTTTAAAGTAAATAAATAAATAATTACATTAAAAAACTATTTCTTCCAGCAGGATAAAGTCAGAAATAAACTGCAATGCAGCGACATACACGCACAGGATAGTACATTCACAGTGCAGTCATTTTAATTGACATTTTTTTCATTGCAAGTTTGCAGCAAATATGACTAAAACAGTGGTAAAACAATTATTTCAAAAGCGTTTTGACTGTATGCAGACATGACAAGATGCTTTGTGAAAGGAAAGATATGTAGATAAACTTTTTTAATGACAGATTAAGAGGGAGAGCTTTGAGTAAAACACAAAAATATACCAATAAATGTAATAACTAAGTACAAAAAAACTGTATAGATTGATTTGTTCATCAATGTCATGGCAGGGTTTTTTGTTTTTTTGCACTTCCCCACTTCTTGCAGTTCTTAGGTGATGACACAAAACCTGTGCAAAGAATGAACTTTGCCTTTGCATGTTAACTCTCCACCCATGACTGCAATTTATGGAAACCAACTACACCTGAAGCAAGATTTTCACTTGCACAATCGATCAGGTTCACACACACGCACACTCTCCCAAGCAGAAACAATTCAAACATACTTTTAAGTACTTTAAGCATCTAAAAAGACGTGGCTAAACCAGAGGAGTGATCGTGTGTGTTTTTCCTCTTTAAATGACCCAGAAAATGGTGTGCATCACTATAAGTGCTGTCTCCCCGAGGGCGATGATGGATGGCTTCATCAGCCCTGTTGTCTCCTGATTAAGTGGCTCTTACTAAACTCCAATTTGCCAGTTTGGTGCAGTAGCAAACCACACTGACTGACTGGACCCCTCCAGAGCATTTCACTTTCACACTTCATTCTCTCTCATCAGCTTGCTCCGCCCGTCGAGCGCTACCGTGACCAAGGTGCACTGCTTCTCGAGTGGCTTGCCTCGCAACAAGCCGTGCACAGTGAAAAGTCGCACAAATGTTCATTCATACATTCGGTCACTAAACATCATCAAAGAGAGTTTCTGTTTTCATTGGCACTGAGGCAAACACACCCAGTCCTGTTCTGCAATGAAAAGTTGCCTGTGCCTGAAATTCAAGGTGCCAAGGAAGTGTTTCAGTAACAGTGAGGTTCTCTCAAAAGTTTTTAATCAGCAGCGTGCAGGTGAATCTTGGGAATGTTTCAACATTTCAACACTTGTGACAGAAGCTTGCAAGATATTTGATATTATTTACTATGCACTGATGAAAGAGAGCACTATGCTGATCTACAAAAGGAGGTGAAGAGAGGAGGGAAGGGGGAGAACAGAGGTTTGAAAGATGACGCACAGGAGAAAGCTGAAGCCTCCTACTTGCACTTAAGGAGGTGTGAAGAGCTGTTCAGGTCCCTCTTGTTCTGGATTTGTCCCCCGAGCAATAAGAGGTAACGTGTGAGGACGAGCTTACCTTGTTGCACAAAGGATATCCTGTGTTTTTCACACACACTCACACACTGACCCACACACTGAAATACAAAACCCCTTAAGCTTTTCCCTCTGTCAGAAGGCACACGTTTCTGAGCCCCAGCTTACAAATATTTGTTTGCTGACAGCCTGCTGGTTTTCTGAGCCACAGAGGAGAGAGAAGAGCTTTAACCCACATCTCTTTCCCTCAGGCTGATAAAGTGCTCTGATAAGCTGTGAGGTGCTGGTGAAAAGTGGCTAGCCCTCAGCCCCCAGGGTTACAATATAAAAGAGTGGCTTGTCTGGAGAGAAGCAGAACAGAAGAGATGATGAAGCCAGGGAGAAAAAAAATGTAGAGAGGAAAAAAAAAAAAAGTCCAGAAGAAAAGAGCTGGATTAATGATGAAGTGGTGTGTGTGTGTGTGTGTGTGTGTGTGTGTGTGTGTGTGTGTGTATGAGAGAGAGCTAGAGACTGAGTGTGTGTGTTTGCGTGTGCTGGTGAGAACTTACTTTTGCCACCAGCTGTGGGCAGTTGTGGGGGTGGTGGGTAGAAATGGGGGAGCCATGCCATGTGTTTATGTTGACTAATGAGCTAATTACCCAACCCCTAATCTACTTCAACTTGTGTCATTTCACAGGAATGCTGCAGCAGTCAAACGCTTGCAGATTATGGGTCATTTCCTGACAGTTAAAGGCAAACTACTACAGCAGTAATTCCTCCACACCCCAGGCATTAAACCACAAGTGCTACAGCCGCTCCATTTGCCTCTTTATGACTTTATTGTCGTGAAATTTGACTACAGGATTAGAAAGTGACAAAGTTGATTCCAGCAGGGGTTTTTTGTTTTTTGTTTTTTGAATATCATTTTTGCTCTAGAAGACTCAACTCTTGGTGAGCACTTTTCAAAAGCATCCCTTCCTTTTTTTATTGTTTTGTGGAAACTTGTTAGGGTCTGTGCAGCATACGTTTATGTAGCATTGTGCCTAAATGTATCTGCGTGAGTGTGTATTTAAGTTTAGTCTGTACTGTTTATTAAAAAATAATGAAAAACTTGTCACCTGTTGTAAAATGACCAAACATAGTCATTTTATAATTTATCAATCAGTAGATAAACATATATCTTCTTTTTTTTTAAGTTAAATCTCATCTGAGAAATGCAAAAAGAAAGTATGGCTATATGTTTGGCTAAGCTAAGCTAGCTAACTGCATGTCTTTGAGTTTTACGAGTTGACCTGACATCCTGGATAAAAATGATGATGCATGTGAAATGGCTACAAATGCTTGGACCACATGAGCACTGACTGATTTGATCATCAACACATATCTCTTGAAGAATTTCTTGCTTTCATCTAAGAATATAACGCATAACTAGAATTGCTGCGGCTCCATAATTTATTTATTTTTTAAAAGTCCTATTTTTTAATGGAAGTGATGGACATTTTAGGATAAACAGGCAAAAGTTTTTCTGAGAATGAAGTCTAATTTCAAGTCAGCATGGGAGGTCTCCACCCGCTCCACCCCAGAGCAAGAGGTGTGAGTTTGGATTTGGTGAACTCTCCCCTGCTCTCCCACCCCCTGTTCATCATCCTCCCCTCCCCTGAGGTGTATGCTGGCTGCTCTACTCCCCCTCAACAGCCTCCCATCCATCACTCCTACAATTTCACTTTAATAGGTGGTCCTCTTCCTCCTTTCACACAGCCTTATGGGAAAATTTGGCCAAAGAGAACAGCAAAGACAGCAGGGGGTGAAAAGTATAGGATTAGATGCTGATGAAGATATTTACCAATAACTTTCTACGACACGTGAACTTCATTATTCATGCAAAAATAAATAGCTTTATGTGCTATTTATTTTGGACTAAAGCTATCATTTGTGTCATTAAATGCTCAATCACAAACAAGTCAACAAATGCAATAAATTTACCTTTGAATGCCATCTTTTACCATTAAGCCCTCTGGATTTGTGTGGTTTTCTGTTTCTGGGATAAGCTGCCTTATATTAGATACTATACTATAATAATTGTATACTATAGCCTTGCTTTGTTGTTGCTTCTCAGTTTGCTTTCCAACCATGAACCCAAAGTCTGAACACGTTTGCACCACAGCATACCGGACGAGCTGAAGCCGAGCTGCCGCAGTAGCCCCTCCATTCAAACAGAAGGCAGGTTTGGTTGATATTTAAATTGCCTCTGTTTATTTTTCTTCTGGTCCCGTGTGTGCATGTGAGCCCAGTATAAAGGACATGTCCTTTTGAAGGGGATAGCACCAGGAAAGTGAGGGGGAAGGAAACCTTGCTTTGGTGTTTTATATATCAGCGGAATGACTTCCCTCAAATAAAGACGTGTTCCATTCTGCCGGTGGGTCTGGAACAAGCTGCTCGTTTCCTGTCCTGAAAACTCTCAGTGTGCTCGAACAATGCTCCGGGCCAGAATAGAGGAGATGTCACGTCTCGAAGAGCCGGTGTGCTGCTTTTGTTTGACCGAAGGTTCAGCTTGAATCTCGTGTTTACAGTATTTGTGACATTTGAATGAACCGACACAATTGTGGCATTTGAATTAATATAAATGCTGAAACAATAGAGAAAGCGGCTTTTGAACTGTCATGTGGAACAAAAGGCAAACATAAACGTACCTGCCCCAGAGGGTTAAAAGTCTCTTTAAACTGGCTTTTCAGCCTAATATAGTAGCAGTGTTATAAATCTGATAATGGGGATTATTTTTTTTTTAAAAAAAGGTCTCCTGCAAGTAATTTATCTCAGATTCATCAGATTCATCTAAACAGTTACATTTCTACCAAAAGGCTTGGTCGAGCCACGGACAAAGGCTTCTCTTTGCCTCCCGTCTGCCAGGAGCTTGCCATGCAGAGTTTCTCACTCGCGCAGCCCCCTCATCAAATTACAGCCCTGCTCCCTCCTGTCATGTTGGCAAACAAAGGTCTTGAAGCGCACTCCCAGTGTAATTGCCTCTAATCTCAGACATAATGTGGTCTTTCATGTCAACTGGTTGCAGAGAAAAGGGAGCTGTTGTTCTCTCTCAGGCGTTTTTTTTTCTCTGCCCCTTGAGTTGCTCCACTTTCACTTTGAGAGAAGTCTTAAAGCTCTTTCACTTTGTTTTGTGGAATGAGAATTTTATTGTGATGTTGTGCAATTGTTATTTTTTTAAAGAAAAAGAAAAACAGCCTCAGATTCTACAGGCAAATGCTTGGTGCTGCAATTAAAATAAACACGATATGGACTCAAACCCAGAGAAATAGTTGAGCTCCACTTCTCCACCTTTGGCCTGAATTCTCTCTGTGGTGAGCATCAGGCAGCCTGCAGCTGGAAGTGTTTCTGTAGTTTGGCCAGGTGTCTCTTTGCGCTGCCCATGACAAGGCCTCAGCGGGGCCTGGGACTCGAGTCTAGGAGCAGGCTGAAGGCATTGAGAGAGCTGGCTGCCCCTCCGTGATCTAAAATCTCCCGCAGACCCACCTGACTGGTGGTCAGCTGTAACTGATACAACACGATAGCAGAGCTGGAGGGGGGAAGAGAGAAAATTAAGATGTGTGTGAGCATGTGGGGAAGAGGCAGGGAAATGTAGACATGTGGAGAAAAATGTGGGAAAAGAAAAGGAGAAAGGGGTTGATGGAAATTTTGGACAAATTCTTCGACTTAAAGAGGCCCATTGGTTGAAAATATGGAACACAGACTTTAATACGGTTTCCAGGGGCTTTGGCAAGCAAAGATGAACATATCAAGTAAAAAACACAGTATCTGATATCGGCGCTGTTCTCGATGGAGAGTGAGTGTGGGGTAAGAGGAGCTGCAGTGTTTCTAAAACCATTCAGCTGGGCTTTTTTAAGGGACCCAGCTGTGCGCCCTGGAGGTCCTGAGCTCTAACTGGGGAAAAATCAGCACAGTGAGGCCAGGCTGCCGCTTCAGAGCCTGGTTAGCCATGACCTGATGTTCCAGGAGGCTCGGCGAATTGATGGGCCCCAGGAGGGTTGTCACAAGGGCCAAAGAACAATCATCCATTCATCCCTGCAGCCACTGCGAGAGGGCAAACACTCTGCAGTCTCACAAAACTTGCAAAAAGGCTTCAAGTGGAAACTAGCAACACGTGATCGTTTTGGTACTTGAAGTGGCACAGAAGTTTTGGTGAAAAATTAAATATTATAAATATTTTTAAATATTTTTATTGTGTATCATTTTCTTTCCACCGACATGGAAATTCTCAGGCAAGCAAACTTGGCTTTCAGTTTTGAAATTTTAAGAACTCCAAATACGCTTATATTATCCCATAAATACGGCTGGTATATTTTTGGATTATGTGGCTGAACTGGCTTGAGCCCATCACGCCTCATCTGTCACGACTACAAACTGCTGTTACATAAGACAGCTGAGCCGGTCCAGACATCAAGACCGGTCTTTATGTGGACAAAATGGGTGTGCTCACTGTGTCCCTTAGCCCAAATCCATTTACCATGTCTGCATCAGCCAACTTTTCTAATGCTTTAGTTGCTTCTTTTCAAAGTGTCTTTCACTCCCAAAGATGAGGGGCTCAGAGGTCAGCGGCGCATCGGTTACATTTTTCTGTGACTTATACCGGCCAGTTATTTATAGAGCAAGAACAAATATACAATGGAAGGCGAGTGGTGGGTAGGTTGGGTAGGAGGCAGGCTAAGCCCAGGAACATCTGTCCTTTCAAAGGCATCTCCTCCTTGGTATGCTCAGAATCCACTCCAGGGGTGTCGGCACTTCACTCTTAGTCAGAGAGCTGGCATGCTAGTCTTAACATAGATGAAAAGGAGGGGGAATGAACATCCTCATCCGAGCCTAATCTTCCATATCAAGAAGTGCAATGCATGTTTCCAAAGTCACCCAACTCTTAACAATACTAGGTTGGTCTTATGTAACAGACAACATTGTCCCCTTTTGTCAGTGCCGGGAAGAAACTTACAACAAAAGCAAAACACAAGGTGCAAAAAGAGAAACCACAGTGAGGGGTTGCAGGATGGGGATGGGTGGGTGAGTCTGAGGACTGTTTCACTATAAACATGACTTTACCAGTTACGTTTTCTGCTGACACCAGTATAATTTTCCTTTTAAGAGCTGCAGCCACGCAGCAGCCACACGGCCTTAAGTTCGACTGGTCAATGGATAAAATAGAACTCATCTTTATGATTAATTCCACAGTTTGGCTTTGTGCTGTTTTTCATGTCCCGTGATGTCTTCTCTGATGAGGGCAGGATGTATGTATGTGTTTACGTGTACGCACAGACTCTGTTTAGTCTGCCTGCGTCAGAGATGCTTCACGACACACTCATAAATTCAACAGCGATGGCAGTCCCACCCCGACCTCCCACTCTCTATTTCTTTGTGACAAGCATGAAAACAAGCAAACACACACAAACATTAGAATACACGCAAATGGCATGACGATGTCAACACCTTTATTGGCCACAGAGAAAGGTGACTTCTGGGGAACTGAAGAAATAATTCATATAACATTCCTGTTTGACACAAACATAACAATATACTTACAGGACGGTTTAGTCAAAGTGCAGCACAGTAAGAAAGATCATCCAAAAATGATTCAGCTTGTAATGTTTATATATTTCATCCTCAAACTTATTTCAGTCCAAGCTTTTATAAATTCATACATGTTGACTAATAGTGTTTTTATGTAGCAAATAGCAAATAATAAAATAAAACAAAGCAAAACTGGTTAAAAAAAAGAATTTGTTGTGTGAGATTTCTTCTTTTTCTTCTCGTCTTCTTCTTCCTATGGCCCTGGTGTGTTTTACTTTCTCAGCCATGCTCTGCAGAACAAGTGAGGGCACTTTGAGGATGAATAGCAGACTAAATAAACTTGCTGAAAGCAGCAATGTCACATACTTGAACTGAAGGAGAGATGTAATATTCATGAAGCTGTAAACCTCTATAATGTCTGCTCACGGAAAATTTCCAAACCTATTATGTAAATTCCATCACAAAATTAATAATTCATTCATTTTAAGTATTTAAGATTTGTGACAGAGTTATCGTTATTATCATAATCCTGAAAGTAAATCCAACAAATATCTGTTCGAGGCCCTATTTTTCGGGGCTGCTTTGATGTTTTAAAACACGTGTAAATCTTTAACATAACAAAACATATTTTTCGGGTTTTTTTTTTTTTGTTTGTTTGTTTGTTTGTTTGTTTTTACTGTGAATAAAATGTAACCTGCCATCTTTAAGGCAGATTGTGGATTGATCCAAATTTGAACATGTTTAATTTCACATGTAAATTAGCCATGACGTAGTGTAAATAGAAGTAGTGTAAAAATAGCTCACTCATTACTTTAAAATCGTCATAAAAACAAGTGATTCGCCTTTCCGCTCTGGTTATCCGACAATCCTTAAGTTTAAAAAGTTACTTTACAATCAAAGCAGCTGAACCTCGACTCACCTCATTATGTTTTTAATCCACTGTAGGCTCTGAAGGCGGTCTACGCCACATCTTCAGGTCGCGCTAAATTCCGTGACCTGATCCTGGTTTGTGCGTAACTGTCAGCGACGAGGGGAGAGGCATCAATTAGAGATCTAATACAGTCCCGATGGGGTGGACTGCGCCGCGCTGGATCTGCGCCATCTCTAAACATCAACACACACTCAACATTAAGGTCTGGCCTTAAGGGAATACATGCTTTTAGAAAAAAGCATATACTAGATAAACCCCACAGGCCTAATCTTTATTTTATTTTATTAAAATCCCTTAATTAGAGGGGAAAATAGTACTTGTCTCTTTTACATAAAAAATGGGCTGTATTTATTTAAAATTGAACACGGAAATTGTTAACCTTTTAGCATACTTTTAAAGAGATGTGGAAATTTTTATTCTAAATCCTATTTATAGGGAAATCATATTTATATTTTTGTTTTAGTTCAGTTGTGTTTTGTTTGAAATTTGTCCATAATATGTGTACTAAGCTGGGCTATATCTTGTAATAATTGAGAGTAAAATTTCAGTGCACTTTGAGTAGTCCAACATAACATCAATATTTGGCCTAGTTCGTTGTTTTCATTATTTTTCTTTTACATCATTGTAAAAGCCAAAACACAATCACACACTTCCACACTAAAATACTTTTATTCCTACTGTAAGATATTTATTTATATAACATAATAAATGTTTGTAGGTTTTACGTTTATCTAAAATAAATAAATTAAAATAATGCCCCTCCTTTTTTTTCTTCTTTCTTTACAAAAATCAGAAATTATGTTAAATAACAACTTGTGAATATTAACAAATCATCTTTGCTCAATATATTACGCAAATGGAAAATTTAAACAGAGTTGTCAAATGCCTGTGTCAAAAAAAAAATTCACCCTATAATTACATTTTAAGAATGGTGGAAGGGGCCTGCAGTGAACTTGGGCCTCACCAGAGACTCAGATGTACTCTCACACAGTTGCACTGCTGTAAATAATAAATGTCATATCCACGAGCACCAAAATCAGGGGTCAGGATCAGGGTGCGTGACTGCTCAGTCATGTTATTGAAAGCATGTATACTGAATGTGGGTTACTTTTTAAATTGCACAAAGAATATGGAGCATATTATCACTCTAGTATATCATCCAGTCGCCTATTGTTAAATTATAAAAAACTGGTTCTGAAGTGTAACGCAATCAACAGAATCTGCCAGTTTTTCAGGATGGGGAAAGATCAGTAAGCAGCATGTTGTCACTTGTCTAGTAGCGTAGTGCCACACAATATCAGCAGACTGTAAACAATAGCAGCAGCATTCTTATAACAACCGCTGAGGTGACCTATGGAGTAAAATATTTTTGGCTGAGTGAAAACAACAGGTTTAATTAGAGAGAGAGTGAATGCGTTGAAACGCACAGAGACGTTTGCAGGATTTCCACTTGAACTGAAATGTGATATCCAACACATGCCATGGAACTTCTATTCTTCATCTGCCCGTGCTTGTCTTTGATGCTGTTGCCAAAGCTGTCAGTGCAATAAACTTCTAAGAACCTGTGGAGATATGCATTACTGAGGTATTACACTTCAATTCATTTCAGTGACAAACAATTATTGTGAGTGATTTTAAGATCAAAAGCAAAAACTTGTTTGACACTGAAATAACAGGGTCATACTAGCATCTAGTGCTCTTTGTAGGTATTATTTTTATTTTATTTTACTATTTATTTATTTATGGATCCACTTTTTTTTTCTTTAATTTGCATTGAAAAAAATTAAAGCTGGAAGTTTAAATCATATTTTTACGCTTTTTTCTAAAGGTATTTGATTAAAAAGTGGTAATCAATATCTCTTTTCAAAGAGATTAACCATCAATTAAATCTCAACTGCTCAGACCTAAGAGACGTCTATGAGCTTTGTCCCAAGCTTTTGAGCTGTAACTCGGTGATTTAGGTTGAACTTTGTAATCTTCAGGTCAACATCAACATTGTTTCAAGGTGGCACAGCGAAGCGGTGTTGATGACACATTTTGAAACATTGGATCTGAGCACTAATTGAGGTTATAACCTTAAAAAAACCCTTCTACTTGCCTTATCAAGTACTATTGTTTTGTCTATGAAGATGCCAAATGAAACAAAACAAGTAGACTGTCAACTATAGGAAAAACAGAAACAAACCTACTACTCATCCATATCCCACGCTTATGGTCTGAACTATGCAACGCACCAAATATTTAGAGTAATAGCTAGTTACTGTGCTATCACCAACACCCAGAGCTGTCAATCTGCACCCTGGAGCTAATTAAAAGGGCTGTGGCATTTTAATTGTTTGCATACACTTTGAAGGCAGACTGGAACAGTCAGGTGAAGGGCATGGCAAGCATGCCATGCCTCCTTAAATCACTCCCCTGTGCCAAAATGCTGACACCAGACCAAAAATGCTTTTAAAAAAAGGCCCTCTGTGTGGCCATAAAAGACATAGGGAGAAAGAATCATGATGAACATATTTTAAATATGTGATTTAATTAAATGGCAAATCATCAGCTTGTTCAGTTTTTTCATTAATGATATCACCTGTGTGCTAAAGCCCATTTGCCTTCCATGAAATGCCATTCAGACACTCCAAATGACATAAAACATGTTCAAGAAATGTCATTACTTACAGTGTTATCCAGGGCTTGCGTCCCATCACCAGCATGTGTGTGGCTTCATCTTCTGCTCACTACATTTCTTTGGCTTTGTCACTTCTGCCGTTGTTCCCTTGCTTTTCTACCTTCTGAATGTCCTGACACTAAGATGGAGCTGGCATGGAATAAAAGACACATTCTAATTGTGTTGCATGGGACCCCAGGGCATTAGCTGCTCTGGCCTCATGGCTCTCTGCTGCCACCTGTCTGTTCCTAAAAGATCACATGAAGAGCTTGCATGAAGACCTGCAGAATTTGCTGAGTAATGCAAAGAGATCACATTAAAGTCGTTTGCTGTTGTAATTTTTTTTATTGCAATCAAATGTCAAAATTTGACTTTGTCAGTATGATGAAAGGAAATTCAATTTCCTTTATTCTACACTTTTATGGGCCCCAAAACTGATACACGGCTTTGTTACTTTAAAAGTACTGTATGTTTTACCTTGAAAGATTTCTACAAATAATCACATGATCTCGCTCTATGTCTAAAGACCTCTTGTGAAAAAATGGGAATGTTAAGTGACCGGACTTGCATGAAACATAAAAACAAAACAATTTCATTAACTCTAAAGAGCGGCAGAAAATGTATCTGTAAAAGAGCGTTTGCAGATTAAACCCCTGCTTTGTATGATGTGATAGCCCAACAGGAAGCCATTGAAACTCCAACATAAATAGTAATCAGGCCATGGGTAAACCAATCAGCAGCGCTGTTTCAAAATATGCACCAATCAATTAGCAAATGTATTTTCTTTCAAATGTGCAGACCAAATCAAAGCATTTCAGGAAACAAGTTACGGCTAATCTACGTTTTGTTTTTTGTATCTAAGGCTCTCGTTGCAGTTTGCACTCTCAACCTCCTAGATTTAAAATCTCAAAAATGTGTTTACACTGCAGAGATTTTAATCATTTGTTCAATCATATGTGTATAAAGAGTGCAGTGAGTGCCTTTATATTTTTTGCAGTTACCACCAACTGTGCTCATTTTCTTCTCACACTTTCTCTGTTGGCAATGTCTTCTCATAAGCTCTGCAGACACTTAGCAGTTAATCAAAGGCTGATTATCTCTTGTTCATTACTGCTGTTTAAATTTAAAACGCTTTCGTTACCGAGTTTCTTTACAGGTTTTGGAAGCCAGCCTCTTGGCTTCATATGTACTCCAGTCCCACTCACACACAGCTGTCTTCCAGGCTCCATCACCTGCATCCAGCTGCAAACCACAAACAGATTGCAGTATTCCCCCGGAGGGAGATTTTGTGCAGTCGGGTCATCATCGGCACGAAAGATGAAGGGGCAATATATTAGGTAAAACCTCACTGCTCATCAACCAAGGACATTTTGCACAACACTAAGCCCCTGTGCCAGTAAGGACTGACACAGTAGTAGCTAACAATGTTGTCAGAGCATGTGACAACATTTCCCAGACCACTAAACATTGAAAACAGACCAACGAGGCAACATACTGCTTTGATTTACTTATTTGAAAAATAGCTTTGGAATGAATATCCTCGTCCAGTTGTTCCTATGTGGCTGCCATACAAGTAGGGGATAAAAGGAAACATGATTTCTTATTTTAAGCGCAGGAAATGAGACAATGACAGGAGACAAATTTATCACATATTGATGTGATTGTGGCGATAAATGCGTTCTGGATGGTGATTTTATTGTCTCTCAGTGGACACATCTTCTCGTAGTTATCCCATTCATAAAAAATCTCTCATGCTTGTGTTTTAATGTGTCATCTCACGTCTGTGTGACAACAGGACGGGATCAGATCAGCTTCCATGTCTTTCACTACATGCATTGTTTGGCTGAGTCTGTGTTGCCCTTTTACCACAGCTATTTTTATTTAGTAGGATAGCCATTTGACTTGTTTTAAGAAGAAACAGGCTCAGTCCTTTGTGGTGACAAATATCTGAAGTATAGCTTTAACTTACAGTAATAATCATTTGAACTAATGTGTAGCCAAGCCCCTACTCCGATTTCTCTGAAAACAGGCAACAGCAGGAGAAAATCCTCGTGTGAATCACTGCAGAGTTCTAATTTAATCTCATACGAAATGTAAATACAGCTGCTGGATTCAAAATTATTTGACTACAATCGTCCCAAATTTTCTTTTAAAATTTATCAACTCAACCAAAATCCATATTACACATAGCACACCTGCCCTATGTGCGAACAAATATTTTAATTAGCCGCATCTGGGAAATCTGCACCAAGCACTCATCAAGGCTAGCAGAGTTCTGCCTTGTCAAAACAGACTGATTGCCCTCCATTTGATTTTCCTAAACCCTGCAAACACCAATGTGGAACTTCTGTTGAGAGCGAGAGGAGGGCAGTTGAATAAACAGGATTACTTGCTATGGCAACACCTGCAAGCAGCACGTGCGAGGAGGAGAGGGAAAAGGATCCTGGTTAACTGCTGCAGATAATGACGCTGCTATATTTATATTTGTCTTTGGCAAGGGATCCTCAGCCATTCTACTCCAAACCACAGCCAGCGTTTTTTGTTTTTTTTTAGTCTGAACAGTGCCAGTACGTCTCTTAGCTCAGTGTTAGAGTGAAACACAACAGAGGAGTTTCAAAATACTCACACAGCCAGTGTTGAAGCTGAGTCTGCAGCGTGCCAGTGAATCAAAGCAATAATGGGGCAAACAAAGAGTGAACACACGTGAACACAGTAGAATGTCTTTAATTATGATAATGACGCGGTGATTAGTCCATACATTCATGTGATTACGATGTACCACCTTCCAACGTTGTGTATGCTCATTTGTATATTGGGGAAAGAAGCGTGCATTTTCCAGAATCCCAGCTAAAGAAAAGCTTAAAGAACAGGAGGGAGCTGCCAAATGTGTGGTTTCAGAAAGGGAGACCTGATGGACCACCAAATGCAGGAAGGGTATGCTATCGAATTTCCTCAGAGCCCAAACAAAAACACTGTTTTTAACGCAAATTGAGTTATTAATTGTGGAAGGAAATCATCGGCGCTTAAAGAAAACCACACAATACACAAACAAACATATTTATGGTGTAGAAACACATAGTGTGAAAGTGGTCACTGATGATGACGAGACCACAGGCTCCATTTGTTGACAAATCTTTTGGGGCTTTCTGTGGTCTTTTAGCTCAGTGTTTCAGTTTTTACACAACAGTTGGACTGATTAATTTCACTCATTAACATTCCTTTCAATGGGAAGCTATGGTTGGAAAAAAAAGACCAGTGAAGCTATATTAACAAACTTAGTTAGTTCCCTGGAAAATACCCAAAGGATGATCCCAATTTATCCATCAGTCAGGACAGCAGATAATACCTACCCTCCCAGGTTCAAGGTCAAATTCAGGTGGAGCTCCCGTTTGACGCCATAGAACTAAAATCCCACTAAACAGGCCCCTTTTTCTAAATAACTCTGTGACCCAGAGGTCCCAGACAGTACGCCAGGCTGTGTTCTGGGCCCGTTTATCAAGGCTTTTCCGCTCCATTGGTGCAAGCATTGTGCCAAAAAAGATGGCCACTATCAAACGAGATGGAGAATATGAGGTGAGAAAGGGCAAAGTGATGTGAAAACAAAGAGAGTGGACAAGAGATAAGGTGTCAGACAAAGAGATAGCGAGAGCAGCAAAGTGAAAAATGTGTTATCACCATGCCTGTTCATCACAAGCTCAGGTCAGAGGGGCGTGAACCGCGAGTTGGCAGAGCTAAGAGCAGGGCTAGTTGGAATATGTGTGGGGCCATAGGAAGTGCTGTGTGGAGAAGATAACAGAGTGCAAATGTGTATGGGTGTGTGTGCGTGTGTGTGATGGAGAGGAGGCATGGGAGGTGGGGTGGGGGAGTAGAGTGAGTAACAGTGTCCATAGCTCTGCCCCGCTTTCCTCTATTCACTGCCCGCATCCTGTCTGCGTGCTGCTCCTTAATGGCTTTTAATGAGCCACCGGTGAATCGTGCTCCTTCCTGCTTTCGCACATACCAGGCAAGAGCAAGCAAAGGGAAGAGAAAGAGTGAGAGAGAGTTGATCAGTCAACATCACAGGCTCCTGTGGTGGTCACTCGCTCCCCTCCACAAGTCTGCGAAACCATCCATTAAAGGACCATGGCGACTGAAATGATACACTAAGGTCATGATGAGAGGGTCCCACCCTGGGTGTACACAGTGCACTGTAAAAAAGGCAAGACGTTCAAAAGTATTTCACATATTTGTCTTTTTCAGTACTTTTAATAGCTGCCTTGTTTCCAGAGAAAAGAAAGATGTGAGCCTGGTTGTTTGGATTTTGCAACCATTTCTTTCCAACCAATCAGACACGGTATATAAAAATAAGAAATCCATAGATAGAATTCCTCTATCGCTTTTGCTCAGTATCTGATAATCAGGAGAAAAAAATACACAAGAAAAATGTAGAAATATAAACATTCATAATTTATTAATTAACATGCAATTTCAAGTCTGCTCTCAAGGGAACTTAACATTAAAAATTGCCGTTTTCTGCTATTAATTTATTATGTAGTATTGTCTTCAATTACTTATTTAGAATCTACTAATTAGGAATCCCTGATTTTCTAATATTACTAAGTTAAGTGTGCAGGTTGAACCTTTGCAATTTGTCACTCGTGTAGAAAGGTATGAAGCACTCTTTAACACCACCTTAAATGTCACGCTCTCATTTGCTCTCCTCTGTCTGCTTTCCCACTGGCGGGATTTCATAGCTCACAGTGTCTCGTCATTGAGATAGATGACAGGTGAGAGAGTTTCTCTGATCCCTCTGACACTCTGTAATCGAGTTAAGAACGCTGGATTAGAGGCTCCTTTTGAAAGGAACTGAGGTCAGCTCTCTATTCTGCTTGATGCATAGCTTCAGAGAGTAAGAAAAGTCCTGACATTAATTGCAGGAATGTGTGTGCGTGT